CCCCCCCCCCCCCCCCCCCCCGCCTGTCTACTCTTCACAGGTCGCCTATCTTGATGAGGGCCACTTTGCTGTTCAGTACTTCGCCGACCTGGGCTATGTGTGCCCGAACTTCAGCAACCCCTCGGACTTCTTCATGAAGATTCTTCACTCGCAGTCCGAGAGCGATGCCTTCCGCGTGCGCTCCATCACCGACAGCTACCTTAAGCAGAGCCAGACGCGCGAGGCCCTCCGGTCGCCGGTGGACGTACGTGTGCCCCATTCGTCGGCCCACTTTTTTTTTTGCGCCCCCATCTCGGGGGGCTGGCCTCGGAAGCCGACTTTCCTCTCCTTCTCTGACACCCGGTGCAGGTTCCCCAGCTCAAGATCTCCCAGCCTCAGCGGGCCTCGCCCATGATGGAGTTTATCACGCTCTTCAAGCGCAGCACCCTCATGTACCAGCGGAACCCGGTGACCCTGGGGGCGCGTCTGGGGCAGACCATTTCCACGGCCCTCATGTGTGGTCTCTTCTTCTACAAGTTGGACCTGACCCAGGCCGGCGCATCTGGCCGCAGTGGGTCTCTCTTCTTCTTGACCTCCTCGCTGGTCATGTCCTCCTGCATGACCTACGTCCTGACCTTCCCCATGGAGACGCGTTATCTGATGCGCGACAAGCTCAGTGAGATGTACTCCACCAGCGCCTACTACTGGGCCAAGTTCTTCAGCGAGCTCCCCTGGACCATGATGTTCCCGGTGATTTTCGCCCTGATTGCCTACTTCATGGTTAATCTCCACCTGACTGTGGAGAAGTTCTTCATTCATCTGCTGGGCCTTTGGCTGGTGACCAGCTTGTCGACGTCGATGGGGTGCGTGATGTTTGTGCTCGGGGGGCGGTGTGGAGGAGCAGGGGGCGGGCCCGGGCATGCCCTTTGTACAGGGGGCGGTTTCGGCTTGCCTTCTCTTCTTTTTTTTTTCTCCGCCTCTCTTTCGGGGGAAGGATCTGGCAGAGGCCCTTCAAAATGGCTGACCGTTTGTGCCCCCCCCCTGGTCCTCTCCTCCATGTAGTATTGCGATTGGCTCGATGTTCGAGCATGCCGAGGTGGCTGTGACCGTGGCCCCGACGAGTATTGTCCCGCTGATGGTGCGTAGGCGCGCATAGATTCGGGGCAGGCGCGAAAGGGCAGAGCACGCCCGCGGGGGGACCGGAAAGCGCGCCCCGCTCTGCACTCGCCTATGCCCCACTCTCTTTTTTTTCCCTTCTCTCTGCCTGTCAACCTAACCGCGGCACTTTCTTGTCCTCTGTCCCTCCTCCCCCCTTCTCCTCTCGCGGCCCTTCCTCCCTTGCGCTTGCGCAGGTGTTTGGTGGCTTCTTCGCGCAAGCCGACCGGATGCTGGTCTGGCTCAACTGGATCCAGTATATCTCCCCGCACAAGTGGACCTTCCAGGCGCTGATGATTAATGAGTTCCGTGGCCGGCTCCTCACCTGCGCGCCAAATGAGTTTATCCAGACGCCCTCTGGCCCGGTGTGTCCGATCACCACCGGCGAGCAGTTCATCGAGTCCTTCGGCATGAAGCCCACCACCCGGGTCATGTGGAAGTCCCTCTGGATGTTGGCCATCCTGTTCATCTCCCTCCGCCTGATTGCCTGGTTCTTCCTGGTCCTGCGTACTCGTCGTCTGACCCGGACCCGGACGCAGTAAGCGGCAGTCTGTCCCCCCCCCCCCCCCTGCCTTTCTCTTTGTTGCTCCATCCGTGAGTGCCTGTTTTTTTTTCGGCCAATGCGTGGTTTTCCCTTTCTCTCTCTCCCTCCCCTTCTCCTATGTTTTTCCCCCGCTTCGCAGTCGGCAGTTTCCTCCGCGACCCGGGCTCTTTCCCCCCTTGTCCTTGTTGCCCCTTTCCCCCTCTTCCCCCTTTTCTCCCCTATAGAGTGAATGACAGTGTTCATTTTTCTTTGTCCCTTCCCTTTTCCCCCTTGACTCAGAATATATCTTCCTATCTTTCCCTGTGTTTGTGCTGTTGCCTTCCCCCGTACCCCGCTCCGGGCACCCTCACCCATCCTTTCTCTCTCTCTCTCTCTCTCTCACACACACACACACTCCGCCGCTCGGTTTTCTAACTGTGTTGCTATATTGCTCTCTGCTGAGGGAGGGGGGATGTGCACACCGGGGTGAAT